GAGGATATACTACGGCACAGCTAAACATGTTTATAGTGGAAATAAGTAAAATCTCAGGATATCAAAATCTTCGATTTACCACTGCTCGCAAGCTAGGGATTATCGAAAAATTCACAATCTTCAGATTCCATTTCTCCTGTCGAAATTATGTTTAGCAGTGCCAAGTATATTTACTACATAAATGCAGCATTTTTATTGACTTCTCAGGAAGATAAATCACTTTGAAAATGAGAGGTGATCCCCTGGAGATTCCCTGTGGATCCCCAGAGGATTACACAAAACGGCAAAAAACCAATCTTGTATGGCAGTAACCTGGCATACGTGATACACAGGTACAAATGTATGAGAACCTTCATAAACAAGATAGAGAAAGAAGAAAAAAGCTTAGAGTAGCAAGATATCACACATCTCCTCTCAGATCCCCTCTCCTCCACAAGGGGGATGTACATGCATAAGGGCCTAAGTCCTTCACCATCCAATCGCCGTTTTGGAGAACCCGTGGGGCAGGCTTTCGGAATGGCGATTGTCAAGGTTTACACGAGTTCTCGACTTCGTTTTGGGAATTAGGGGCATGAAAAGACTCGAAACGACAAACAATTGAAAGTCAAGAGTTTGGGTAGACGGTACTTCAAGCGCTGGTAGGACTATGAAAACCAATTTCTTCCGAACCTTGCGTATGCTTCTGCTCTGAAAATACTTACGGCTGGAATGTTCCAAACACTGGAAGCAATATCTGCAACAGCATCAGTTCTTTTCAAGATGTGTAGTTGTCATTTGGGTACTTGATCTATGGGCAGTGGTTTTGCCAGCTAAACACGAACGAAGGCATGACTGTACGTTTATTGCCACATCTCTGGCTCGCCTTCAGTCTCCATTGTTATCTAAAGATTTTCATCCTGTCTGCGAAATATTTCATTTTATCGCAACTTCTCAAGTTGATTCTTCTCTGCTGCGCTTTTTCAATAATGTTTTAGGCTCATCATGGTCATTTTCCACTTCCGCTGCTCTTATTGAGACACAGTATCAACTCGAAATGCTGTCAAGATCATTCTCCTTCATTCCCACATTCGCATTACTTGTGATATGCAGCTCAGGAAACTTGCTACTTAACTAAATTCAAGTGTAGACCCAAAGTATGAGTCTTACTTTTGTAATTGATTTTTATCAGGCAAGGTTTTCACAGTTTCCTGATTGGCATGTGTATATAGTTTGACGGCAATACTTAGCAATTTCTACATCTATAATTTGTGACTGGATGTGCCGATTGTTTTTCAGTGCTATTTGATTGGCTTTATTTTATGCTGTGCTATCTGGTTTTGTTTCCATGTGTTTATGATAGCTTCCATTTTAGTTATTTAAGACAAAATATTGGTTGTATTTTTCAAATTCGCATAAACTCGCTATCACTGTCCGTATGTCCTAACTTTACAATAGTTTTTCTGGCGCTTCAGCAGCGAATAGATATTTTGTATCCTTAGATATCCTCTCTTGAACAGCGACAGCGTTAGGCCTCGGGCAGAGTTCACGCAATTTAATTGTCGCGATTAATCGCTACAAGTATTACGAGTTCATTGCATGCCGACCTTCTTGTGTTTCGGTTGTGATAGTTAGTCACGATTAATCGTGGTGGGAAACTAACACAACCGACATGCAAAAATATCGGTATGCAATGATAGTGTTATATGGCATTCGAAAAATCGTGACGATGGCGCAACCGCGTGCGACAGCACGCACCTTCCGGCAACCGCATTTTCTTGGTTTTGATCTCTTCTCTACTGGTTTTTCAGCATAGGTATGATATTACTTGGACGCTGGAAGTGACTGAGCTAAGCGTTGAGGATACCCTTCTGTATGAGGGTTCATGCTCCTGTAAGCGCAAAGACCGCAGTCAAATCCGTCGTCACGATTTTATAAATGAACCTTACAGTCGATGAAATCGCGTGATTTCTGCTTCGCAAAGGTGACGCGTTGGTTCTATTGACTGTATTCCTCCTCTGTGCTAGCCTAGTAATGACTTTGGAACTCCCCGCATAATGCTGACCATCACGAATGAACTGTCCTACTACCCATCTCTAAGGTTTTCTCATGCAACATCGTTAACTCTAGGAGGAAGATAACATGAATCACTTAAGAGCCGGGCATACTTCACGCAACTTCAGTCGCGACGCGATTTGGCAATTTGCCAAAAGTGTTCGGATCCAACACTATCAATCTGCACATGCATAGTGTGTATAACTTACGTAGATTGATAAATGCCCTATCTTCTGTACATTCAAAATGTGTTTACAGTGAGTTATGGGCGGTTGGAATATTGCCAAATCGCGTCGCGACTGAAATCGCGTAAAGTATGCCCGGCCCTTTACTGATTCTAAAATGGCTTGATGTCGCCACAAAGGGCAATGAACATTGCGAATTACATGTCCAAGTGAAATCATTTTATGCTTGGGTAGAACCTTGACAAAATAATTACGCTATCAATCTTTCATTGCGCTGCTTCTCACAGTTCCTTTTTGGTAAATGTTATCAAGACCACATCGTTTGCGTAGAAACGAGTCCAGGGAGGTCTACAGTCGAGTAGATTTTCTGCTTAATATAGTGTCCCTGCAGACGCGACAACGCTGGGACGTCAATAAATGCCTTGCGAGTTCCCGAGCTAGTGTTTTCCAGTGTTTTCTCTGCTTATTTCATGCTTTTTAGTTGATTCGTTGCTGATAAAGAAGAAAAGGGGTAAGTTAGAGTGTAGTTTCTGTTTTCTGAGAAGTTCTATCATGGCATATTCACAGATATCCACATGGAAGCAGTTCGCGTCAGCTTCTTGTCTATTTTTTGTCTTCATGTCTCTTTCTTCTTGTGAGGTACTCCTTTGAACGCTAGTGGGTATTACGATTGACCTGTTGTCTTTATCACATGAAGTACTTGATTAAAATGCTATTTCTTGTGGATGAAAGCCGAAGTTGCTGCAAGACAAGCCAACTATCGTTCAAAGAAACGCCTCGCAAGAAGGAAGAGGTTTGAAAGAAGAAGTGACAGAAGAAAAGGAAATGACAAAAAAAATAGACAAGAAGCTGACGTGAAATGCTTCCACGTGGATATCTGTGAATATGCGGTGATAGAACTTCTCAGGAAACAGAAACTACACTCTAACCTACCCTTTTCCTCTTTATCAGCAAGGAATCAACTAAAAAGCATGAAATAAGCAGAGAAAACACTAGCTCGGGAACTCGCAAGGCATTTATTGACGCCCCAGCGTTGTCGCGTCTGCAGGGACACTATATTAAGCAGGAAATCTACTCGACTGTACATCTGAGCGTCATCCCTTCTTTCATCGTGATGAAGAACAAGGGAGAGAGAACTGAACCTTGGTGTACTCCAATCTCGATTTAAAACTCTTTCGACTGCCCTGCCCCCTGTACGTTACCTAAAGGGCCGGGCACATACTTCACACGATTTCAGTCGCGACGCGATTTGGCAATTCGCCAGAAGTCTTCAAATCCAACGCTAGCAAACTGCACATGCATAGTGTGTATAACTTACGTGGAATGATGAAATGATCTTTTCTGTGCATTCAAAATATGCTTACAATGAGTCATGGACAGTTGGAATATTGCCAAATCGCGTCGCTACTTAAATCGCGTGCAGTATGCCCGGTCCTTAAAGTGTTGTCGTAGATCATTTTGATCTACTGAACGTACTCTTCCGGCACCATGTGCGGAAGAGTACGTTTCCTCAAGGCCCACCATATTACTTTATGGGAAACCTTTTCGAAAGCTTTCTTCAGCTCTAAGAGAGTCGCAAGCAATTCCTTCCGCTTTTTCCTAAGTCTCTCCTTTACTATCCGAGCGGAGTTGATGGCGTCAGTTGTACTACTCCTTTCACAAATCCGCACCGATTCGGTGACAACTCTATGATCGAAGCCGCGTTTCGAATACTCGCTCGAAGATTTCCAGAGTTTTGCTCATCAATCGGGTTGGCGATAGAATGCGCGTTCTGCTATGTCTACTTCGATAACTGGATTGTTGCTGTTAATCGCGAATCATACTTTTGCTCCTTATGATTTGATCGAGTAGACTTGTCAATTATGCTCATGATTATTTGTATATTTTCCAGCACTCGCTTGTTGTGTCATCTGGACCATTCGAGTCCTTTTTGTCATCCTTACATCCGACTTGCGCCGTATAGTCTATGATTACTCATGGGACTTGATTCGCGTTGTCTTTATCTCAGACGGTCACTTATGAGCTCAGCGTCAACTATATTTCCTCGGAGTCTCCGAAGCAGCTATACCAACCCCTTTCTGGTGCAGGTGGCACCGTTGTAAAGTAGCTTATATCTCTTCAAGTCACGCGGCATCTCCAATAAGTCCCATGGCTTTACCCACGCAAACTCTGCGATGCTTTCGATCATCGGATCCTATGAAGCTGAAGCAGTCGCTTTAGCCGTCCCCGTTCACCTTGCTGAGACGGTAAATTTCGCCCACCATACGCATTCGTCGGGTTCGGATGCGGATTTCTCGTAGGAAACGCCCTAACCTTTAGTCGAGTCATTTTATGGGGCATGTCTAAATTGTTGCTGCGACTGGTGTTTCTCAGCCGGGTGCATGCCCTTAAAGGACAGTATGTCGCTGAAAGTGTGAACAAAATTATTACCCCAGCAAAGGGCTCAGGGTGTCGTGACATTCAGCTGAATGTCACGGTCTACACGGTCGACAATCGGTCGCCATGCCGCACTGGTTGGTATGGTATGGTGGAACTTTTACTGTCGATGAAAATTCCACCATACCAACTTGCGTGGCATGAGAAATAGACCATTGAAGGCAATGCACAGGTTCCAATACGGGAACACATGAAAACTTATGGCGATGTTAAAATGACCCTGAATCTCGTTTATAATCAACATTAAGTGCATAAAAAAGCAATGCTTTGAATGACGAAAGCCATGCACATTATGATTCGAAATTTTACATATTTTAATCACGTTCCTTTGCAAACACTTTCCCAGTCTTTATTCTGTAACATAGTGGGCTACAATTTGCACATTTAGATTGGATTATGTCGAGTTTATCAATCTATGCTTTGCCTTAAGATTCTACATTTTCATTTTCTTCTCTTTTAAGATTATCTGGACTAGGTTCCTCTTCTCTCGGTTCTCTCATGCGAGCCGCAACTGCGGCAACTACAGCAGCTCCAATTCCACTTCCATCTTCGGACAACATCAATTTGTACTAAAATCGTTTTAATGAGTATGATGATAAATTTCGCCTTTTTTAAAAATTACTCGTAGATTTTCGTCAATAAGCTCTGCAATTTTGTCATCCAGCAATTTTGGAAAAAGAGGATGGTATCGATAAATGGATCCATCTATACCAACGGTTACCATAGGTCGCTGCAGTCTATTTATGAGAGTTGCAATGCCAGCTGCGAGCAGATGAGCAGCCCTAAACAAACAGGTTGTATACTAAAAACTAATTGTCGAAAAATGCTTGCCTTGCACTAATTACGCTACAAATGTAAGCCACGTTGGCACAATCTGCAAAATACAGATTCCTCACTCCAAGCTGGCTGAGTATTCGATTTGTAGTTTGAAAGGTTTTTTCATCTTCTCCGACAAGATCTCTGCAAAAAACAGAGGAAAAATTAATGCAATTCATGAATGTATTCGAGATAAATGCACTCACTCTTCGATATCTGATATGAATCTTGTCTTAAAACAGCCTTTTCGCGAAATGGCTTCGATTTCCCCACCAAACAAAACACCTTCTTTCGCTAAAGATTCAATCACCATTCGCACTAGTTCACCCATATAGATTCCCGATATCATTTTTTCAAAGCTAAATTTGCGCGCTTATTTTCTGAATACAACCAGATGATAAACAATGGATTGTTACATCTGTTTACGTGGATTGACACTACTCTCATCCATTTGCCGATCAAAATCCGTATAAATAAACTTTAAACTACCATCGTCTCCAAATGCACCCCATTCCGTGTTTATAACTATCTGAATACGAAAAAATTCTATTTACATAACAACGAAAGACATTTAGAGCTTTTTTGTTCTGCTCAGCCATTCTCGTTTATTTGAGAATGCTATTTTGTAATTGACACAACCTCATCTGGAAGACCATCGTCAGATAATTCTGCCTGTAACTTTGGAGCTCGATCAAGCTGTTCCATATAGCAAGCATTAGTTCCGCTACCGATGATCACCCCTATCTTAAAGAAATGATTACTTCTCCATTTGTAGCTTCCTTTTTGAAATGGCTTAGTTACCCTGCAAGAGCTCTCTTTGAAAGCACATGCCATCATTGTTCCGACAGTGTCATTGAGTAGAGCAACAAAGTCAAGGTTGATATTCTGTAAAAGCAGTAAGAAGTAAGATGGAGAAAAAGAGGAAAAGTCGCATGAAGTTATTCTTCTTACTCGTCGAGTGCAGGCATCCTTGAGTATTGCACATATATCCTCTCCCTCACATCCAGTCACTTCAAACTCTTTCGTCCATTTTATCAGCCTTGCGCTCAAATTTCCTCCTTGATACTGCGTCTTCTTTCGATCGTAAAGCTTACCTTGTGAGACCCTGTTGCTTACATGGGAATGAGAATGTGAAACCAAGAGGAAGCTTTTTCGTGGATTCAACACCTTGCTCCTCCAAGAATTTTGCAATACAGTCGGCAATGTGATCAAAAAGCTAAATTCGTCTTGGACAAAACTCACGTACAACTTGATTGTACAATGTAAGTGTGATTAAAAACGATAGCGTGCTATCGCGTGAAATCTGCCCGAGGCCTTAGGCCTCTCAAACAGTCGATGGGATACCTCCGGAGCAGAAGTGGCAGGGTCGCGGGCTTTCCCCAGCGCAGGATTGCCACTTCGCGCTCCGGAGCCCTGCAATTTCACGCATTTTTGTGCTCCGGGGCTCTCCCAAAGGTGGCGCACCTCCGGAGCAGAGATTTGCGCACGCGGAGTGGGGTCCCATTCGTCCTGTTTGACGTCACCGTGACGTCACGGTGAATGAATGGGACCACTCTCCGCGACGCGCAAATCTCTGCTCCGGAGGTGCGCCACCTTTGGGAGAGCCGCGGAGCACAAAAATGCGTGAAATGGCAGGGCTCCGGAGTACGAAGTGGCAGACTCGCGCCATATGCCCGCCGGAGGTATCCCTTCGACTGTCTGAGCTCGGACAAAGTTCACGCAATTAGTCGTCGCGATTGGTCGTGACAAGACAACTGTAACTATATCTATGCATGCCGATCTTCTTGCATTTTGGGGTTGTGATAGTTTTCCAAGAAGACTAATCGCGACTAACTGACACAACCGAAATACAAGAAGATTGGCATGCAACGAACTCGTAACATTTGTCTTGCAGCGATGAATCGCGACTACTAAATCGTGAACTCTGTCCGAGGCCTTATGCCTAAGGCTCCGGACAGACTTCACGCAATTTGATCGTCGCGACTGAATTGCCACTAGACAACTGTTACAACATCATTCCATGCCGATCAACTTGCATTTCGGTTGTGATACTTTTCCAGCCCGAAATTTTTGAATGTGACATGAAAATGAATGGAAATGTCGGCGATTGAGTCGCGACGATCAAATCGCGTGCAGCCTGTCCGGGGCCTAAGGCATACCTCACGCGATTCGGCCGAGTCGCCACTTTCACGCGACTTGGCGATTTGCCAGATTTCTACAAAGCTATCATGAGCACTTCTCGGACGCATATTTGGGTAGCTTGTGTAAGTTGTTGCAAACAGAGCAAGTTCTTACCGAAGTCAGAGCATTAACGGCGAAATACGAAGAGTCGCTGTTGTGCCAAATCGCGCAGCGACCGGAATCGAGCGAGGTATGCCTTAAGCCTTACGGGCACGCAGATCCACTATTTTGGGCCACATCAAAAGGCCCATAGCCTTGCACATGGCCGAATCAAAGAAATTCGCATTTCTGGAAGATTTGAGCGCCAATTCAAGTGTTTGTCAAGCTGAAGCTCCAATCCAGAGTGTATTCAAAAGTCTAATTTTCGCAAAACAAAGAGATTTTTGCGAACGCACCTGATCACAAAATCTCGCCTAGGGAACTGAGATGATTTTTACACGAGGATTTCATATCATAAACTATTGTTTTACCAAGCCCTTTATCGCGAAACTCGCGATCTGTATTCTGATCGCAAGTCATCAGAAGACATGAAAGGAAGGCGCAGCTGCGCAACTCGCAGCTGCGCGAGGACACAGCTGCAAAGTTAACACGTGTGCGGTTGGAGGGCCGCCTTTGTTAACTTCACTTCCATCCAGATAGCGTCCGCGACTCGTTCGTCAGAAGATCTTCTTCCCTTATCACCAATTAACCTCGACCTCATATATTTTCGCCCCATTTATTTGTTCTGTGTTATTCGACGCAATAAACCGTAAAAAAGTTCGTGGTCAAGAACAACAGCAAGTGGTCAATCGAATACAAGAACGATCACACCCTTTCAACAGCTTATTCGATTTGTGTTTTTTCCGCTGTGAGATGATTCACCGCTCTCATATGCAAAGCTTTTAGAATGCATAGATGTTTACATTTGAGTGTGATGGTCAGCGTACTCGGTATGGTGCAAAGTGAATCTTTCGAAGCGTTAGCGAGTGAGAGATCTAACGCAGGCCTTTGGAAAACAGATGGCGTGAGACCTCCAATCTCTGTAACCCAAAACCACCAGTGTTCCACGGTATCATCATTTAAGACTTGTGCTGACGAGGGAAAGCCTGCGAAATTTAGTATTGGGAAGGCCTCACCGTTGTACCAGTTCCTTTACGCAACTCCTCGGCAACATGGTATATTTTTCCGTTCATTTCAGCTTCTCTTCCATTCAGTTTGATGAAGAGTACACGAAAGTGCGAACCACCGAGATCTAGTGCTATAAACTCCCCGCTTTCTTCACCATTTGGCGTCGCACGTACATATGTGGGTAGCATCCTTAAAACGGCTTTGTCACCTGAATTAATCAAGATAATCATATCATTGAAAACTTTGCAGATGTTCACCAACCATATTCTTTTGATAAACCTTCATCCATGCATTTCTCCATTGCAGTCATAACTTGCTCAAGAACGTCATTACTAAGCACAAAAGAATTGCAAACTTTTTCAACCTAAATGCAATTTGGTCACATCACGACAGCTTCCCGACACATCTCACCCTCTTGCGATGCGAAGCTTTTTCAGGTGTGTCTGAGCCGAACAGAGAAGAGATTGAGCCTAGCACATCCGACAAGAAACTAACACTTCTAAAAAAGTTCGTCAAGCCACTTCTCCTCATAATGGGTGCAAAGTTCACCCTGGAGCATTCGCTCGTTCCTTTTGTTCTTCCTTTCTTCGCGGCTTCTTACTCATGCGAGTATTGTGCGACTGTATTTGTGGGCGTTGGTAAAAAAAATGAACCATGTACGATTCAAATCAAACTATGCATTTTTTGTTTACATTGATCTGAAGTCTGATAAGATTTCGCCAATGCTGCTTCATCGTTCATTTAAGATGCGCCTCTGAATGGGTGCAGTAGTGATTCTGTATTAAGAGATGAACTAGCAAAGCATAGGAAATATAGCATCAAATTTAGCTAATTAGGGAATTTGGCATGTAATTTCATACGATAGATTGTCTTCTCAGGCAGCAACTAAGATATTGGAAAATTTGTTTGATGAGGCAACCTTCGGCGTTATCGTTTTCGCCATATAATAGAAAGTCGAATGTATCGATACGTTTCGAGGACTCTGACATTAAAGCTTCCTTCCGCTCTAAACCTAGTACGAAGGCAGAATAATTCCGTTCAGTCAAAGTGTAGATAAAACCTGACCGGAACCCTGACACCTGCTTCTTTTATACTCCGACTAAGGGTGACCTACCCTCTATCAAAATTCGCAGAGGCATTGATTTAGCGAGAGTTCACTGATCACATCCTATCAGTGATATAGACTTACATTACATTTTTACTTATCTATCTGTCAAGCAAAGCTGTCTATATGTCCCTTATCTCAAAGCTGTGTCAAGTCTCAGAGGACCTTGAGGCTTGAAAATAAAACGTTCGAAGCATTTTTTCAAAAGAAAACGTGGAAGAATGGGGCAGCAAACAAGCACCAACCATTGAGGTTCTTGAGCAGAAAAATTCTAATGTTTTTTGATTCTCATATTCTTTATTTGAAGCGTTTATATTTTTAAGTTTCTTTTATTTCCCAACATTGGTCAATTTTTCCTACTAGCTATCTATTAAGACGCTTTCGAAGTATTGCGAAAAAAACGCGACTACTGTAATTCTTATTGTAATTGATATAATGTTTTTACGGGATATGTGGTTTTGTGTTTCACGATTGAGGTGCTGAATCTACAACAGCTTCTTGATCACGGTTCACCCTCAAATTACCTTCCCATTTCAGCCTCAGATAAAGGGGGTTATTAGGTTTTGGCTCAAAAGTGAGGGGGTAACAGCCCCCTATCGCAACGATGCTGCCGACGCGGGTTCAAAATGGCGGAATGTTTCCCTACCCGTGAATGTCGCCGCGCTCCACCCTTTGTGTATAGCTGGCACGAACTGCTGCACATTATGAGGAAACATTATGGGGGAGGTGCATGTTTGCCGCAAATGTCTGCGCGGGATATCCCCTGTCGGCGACATATACTCCACCCGGTTGGTGCATCTGTTTTGGGTGTGAGCATACTTACCCTTTGATTTAACTGGCCTAGCGGCTGGAAGGCGGTGCTTCGTGATCTATCTAAGGCTAGATAATGGTCAGAGAGTACGCGCGCTGGGCGAGCGGCGTTAATTAGGTCACAAGGCCCCGCCTTCCAATCGCCAAGCCTTTTGATCATAGGTTACACGTTACAAAAACCGAATGATTTGACAGATTTTTCTTTGCACAGTCGTAACTTCAACGCATTTTTTATTCATTAAATCTTATTTTATGCATAACATCTACAGCTTTGAGTGAAATTCGCTAGTATCTCAATGATCATGGTAATGGGTCTTATCACATCAACAACGTATCCAAGCTATCACCCATACTAACATGGATGTAAATCATCTGGACAACGTATCAGAATATAATCTACACGTTTTGTATGTGCACAATTTGATTGCCTAAAAGACAATATTACACGAGTTATTGCATTAAGTCAGATTACACGAGCAATTGATAATCATCAGACAAGGAGTAAAAGCGTTATTCTCAGATTTTGGTCAGTCAGGACCCAATGGTCACATTTATTTGCACATTCGCTCCTCTTTCATGCGTGTTGCTACCGCTGCTACAAGTGCTGCTCCTCGACCGCTACCATCCTCGGAAAGCATGAGTTGATACTGGAAAAAATATAGAAGTATAGAAGCGCGGACCAAGGTATACATGATGCGCGTTTACCTCAATATCACCCTCTATCAATTGGTCGATTTTCTCATCGAGTAAACGCGGGAACGTAGGGTGGAAACGGTAGACGGAACCATCAACTCCTACCGTCACATAGGGACGTTTCATACGGTTCAGTAACATAGCGATACCCGCTGCTGTCATGTAGGCTGCTCTAAAATGAGAATTTTATCCATACTGGGTCATAAAAGCTGTTTTTAAGCAGATCTGGGTACGAGGGTTTCTATGTACGAACTGGTTTGTAGCCTTGACTACCCATTGCCCAAGTGACCGCTCATACTCACTCCAGATAAATTCTCTAAACTTTGGTTCAAACATTAATTTGCGAGCGGACCAACCACTGTGCGGGGTTGACTGAAAAATGAAGTGGAATTTTCTCGTTCATAAATGATTATAGAGCCGCATGGTTAATGGTTTATTCGTGGCCTCCGATCAATCTTCACATAAGAAACCCCAGTATCCAGATCTGCCATGAGATTGCCTCTAAAGTCTTTGAATATTCCCATACCTCGTACTAATCAAACTGCAAACATAAGCCACATTTGCGCAATCGGCACCGGACACGTTTTCGATGCCAATATCTTCCAGGATCTGATAAGTCCTCTGGAATGTTCGTTCCTCTTGCTCAAGCAGTTCACTAAAGAAAAATGTTAAAATGTAACCTTTAGAACGGTAATGCTCTTACCTTTCAATTTCAGAGACAAATTTCGTTGGGAAACAACCATGTTGAGAGATCGCATCGCAGTCACCGTTGAATAGCAATCCCTCTTTGGCCAAACTCTCAAGGACTACCCGAACCAGCTCACCCATATACATTCCAGAGATCATCTTCTCGAATCTTAATAGCGCATGTACTGGACGTAGACCTTTTGGCGCATTTGGAGCATGCTACCGTAATCTGGAGCCTTGTTGCGCAAAATTAGACAAGATTACAGTACTATACAATAGTGGCCGACGAAGGCCTGAGAGTGGGTCATAAGATTTATTTAACCTACATGGGTCAAAGGATAAATTGTGCAAGTAACTTATTTTCTTTTGCAATTGCTTTAGATAAATTTCTGGAAACCGAAAAAAAAATTCAAAATTATTGTTGTGAAAAACTCTTTTGGGCAAAAATCTTCTTTTTTTAGAATACTGGAAAGCAGCGCAGAATTGTTCTATGGATCATGGCCCATACCACACCTTCATCCAAGAAAGTCTCTTGCGCCCCTCCCAAGTAAAGAAAAATTTTCTCTATTCGCTACTATACATACGATCTTACATCTTACTGCACAATTTTCTAAAATGATACCCTTGAAACTTTTCGCACTTTTAGTGCATTTCGACTAATTAGGTAGCATACCCTATGCAAAGGGAAAATGAACGAGGGAACTTACAACTGCTTTCCCGGATTGATACTTCCTGCATCAACTGCTTTGTCAAAATCTGTACGTATCGAATCCAAAGCACCATCATCACCGAACGCTCCCCATTCAGTATTGATGATCATCTAAAAAACTCTTTTGTAGATATAGAACGCGCATCACGGAAGAGATCATTACCTCATCCGGTAGACCATCATTATCACATTCACCGCATAATTTCTCTATTCGAGATAATTTTTCCATATAGCAAGCATTCGTTCCCGTTCCAACAATTATGCCAACCTGCAATTTAAATAATTTCCATGATAGGCTAATGTCTGAGGACCTTAAGATATCGCTACGCAAATTTTAACTTCTCTATAGGTTACTAGGTCATTACTAACAGATCAGATCAGATGTAAGATCATTCGATCTACTGCGGGTGGCGGGGGACGTACCAACAATACAGTGCGGTAAACTATAATATATTTCAGGTAAGCCAGTCTAAGTTAATTTTCAACTTGGCATGGCATGAAATAAGGTAAACATTCGTACTCTTCGATGGTTCATGAGTTCCACCAAGAATGGAAGAGAAACAATTTTTTTGGAAATTTCTACAAATTTTGGTTTTTTACGAGGATAGAACGGGAAATAGCTGTGTGTTGAAGCTAGAATAGCAACCTCTCATTTGCAGTATCAACAATGAATCATTTTAGGAGCATCCTCTCATTTGATTCTTGATTTCAGGAAGAGAACAAACCTGACAGCTATTCTCTTTGAACGCACATGCCATTAATGTACCAACGGTGTCGTTCAGGACGGCGACCACATCAATATCGATGTCCTAAAAAAATCATACGAGACTGTGACTCCTAATACGTGGTTATGACTGAGAAATAAAAGAGCTAGATTGTATCTTCCAGAAGAAACTAACCTCTCTTCTCTTGCATGCATCCCTAAGCATGGAAACAACGTCTGAGCCCTCTACTCCGCTGGCGTTGAAGCCTTTGGTCCAGGTGATAAGTTTTGCGCTGTAAAGCAAACATCTCACTCTAGAAGATTATATATTTCACTTAGGGATTCTTGTTTACCAGGTCAATCCTTCCTGTTTACATGGGAAAGAGAAAGTGAATCCAAGCGGTAGTTTTTGTGCATTGCTAACACCTTGCTCTTCCATAAACTTCGCCATGCAATCAGCAATATGATCGAAGAGCTGTAATCTTTTAGATTTTATTTGGATTATCAGACTAGGAGAACTCACCGCCTCTCCAGAACCCCTCATCACACTCTCCGGCACTCGAAAGATTTTTCCAATCATCTCGGCCTCTTTGCCTTTGAGACGAATCAGCAGCACACGAAAATTCGTTCCGCCAAGATCTAATGCCAAGAAGTCGCCGAATTCCTTACCATTCGGAACGGCTCGAACATAAGAGGGAAGCATTTTTATAACAGCTTTTGAAGCTAAAATTTGCCATTATTTACGTTAAACATGGTATAGAAACGTTGCTCTTACCTGTTTCTTTGGCTAACCCTTCATTCATGCTTTTTTCCAATGATACCATCATTTCGTGGAGTTGAGCATCGGTCAGCACTAGACAACGGCAGCATTCTTGGATCTGAAAACGTTTTTTGAATGAAAAAAGGACAAAAACCAGTACAACGAGTGAGAATGTCTGTCTTTTTCCAGAAGACATATTTTGATTGAAACTCAAATGTGATCACAAATTTTTTCAAAGTTTATTTCTATAAAAATTCACTTGAGCCAGAAAAGCCTAATCTCTTGTCAATAGAACTTTTACATCCGAAGAAATCACTTAATCTCAACCACAAATTTTCATTACACTCTCCATAACTGACTTTTTTATATTAGGTCATTCCGAAAGTAATTTCGCTTTTTTCAAACGGGCGCCACATCTGATGGAACAAAGGTTTCTAAGAGATCTTGGAAGCATGCAGCATTTCATTCTCTTTCTAACGGTTATGTTGTTGCAAAATAGTCAATGAGCTTTCAGAAAATAGCCAAAATCTGCGACCCATGCTTTTTGAGATAGTCAAGTTTCACAATTTTTCAAAACCTTCATATCAATTCTCAGAAGAAGATCAAGTGACGGTTCGATAGAACAGACCTCATAGAATGCAGTGCAACTTTTTTCTTTTTTCCGTAGCTTGTCATAGATTTTTAACAGAATTTTAACTGATGCTAACGATTTTCATAATTGGACAGCTAAATCCTAGTAGAATATCAAATCTTGAGCAGCTCAAGTGTCATTCGATGCACCCTTTTCTCCTCTTTCTAATGGATATTTTTTGTTTCCGATTCGTTTAGTTTCCGGGGATAAAATCATCATAACTCATTTTTTTAGCGAGCCCCAGGCTGTACCCGAAAAACTCGAAATTTGATATTTCAAACCCGTAAACCCTCACTTGCTTTGTAAAATTAATGCTAACTCATAGTACCATCATGGTAGTCTCAAATTCCAAAAAATTATGATGTTTGATGCGATTGTGGTTGAGGTGCGCCTGCCAAAATCCGATGGTTCTGTTAAAAAATCTTTTAAAAAATTACGGCGGGATAAGAGAAAGGAAAAAAAGTAGTACTGTATTCTATAAGGTCTACTCTATCGAATCGTTACTTGAACTCCTTCTGAGGATTGATAAGAAAGATTTAAAAAATCGTGAAACTTGACCATCTCAAAAAGCATGGGTCGCAGATTTTGTTTGTTTTCTGAAAGCACATTGATTGTTTTGCAACAATTTCATAACCATTAGAAAGAGAATGAAATGCTGCATCGAATGCTTACAAGACTTCTTAGAAACCTTTGTTCCATCAGATGTGGCGACCGTTTGTAGAAAGCGAAATTACTTTCGGAATGACCTAATATATATAATTTATCTGGATTATACACGGTCCGCTTTATCCATTCTTCTACAAACTTCATATGGCGTAATCTATTTCCTACCCTTTCGAGGTTTGATAGCGGACGTTGAGGCTTACGATAAGGAACATCTTCTAGAGTGTGCAGCACATCTTTGAACACATCGAAAACCATCGTATTCCGCCTGTAGGTGATTGAATGAATGTCGCGTTGATGATATGAAGAATAGTGCAATTATGAACGAGTCATATACTTGTGTCTAGGGTGTATAATTGCGTAGTCACATGAGACCCAACAAGACCACATTCGTATGTTCTAATGTGTTACATATATAGCTGTTTTTTTGGAAACGAGTTTGATCCGCAATTGCACCAATATGAGATTAGATCCGTTCTGTAGGACAGAATTATAACGTACGCATATACAAAGACAACAAAAACAGTGGGAAATCAAGATGATAACGATAACGATGTTCAATGAATATTAGGGAACACAGCATATGATTTTTTAAAAAGAATTTTTCCATTCATCACAAATAAAGGCGACTTATTCTACGTTTCTTCGAAGAAGGGACCACTTGAAATATAGTGTACACTATCGAGTCATTTCTAACTCAAAATGTGAATCTGAAAATTATGCGCGACAACACGGGACTCTAACTAATAGCTTCCCAGTAAAACCTTTTCCAGCATAACATACCGCAGAAAGGTGAATGTATTATCCAGAATCAAAAGAGACTAGAAAATAAGCGCAAATCACTAAAAATGAGCAGGTTTTGATCTTACAAGTTCGTCAGGTAACACGCATGTTGTGCAACACGCATACTAACAATAAGTTATAAATGACTCCATAATGATAGATAAATATGACAACACGGGCAGAAGAAAATTCTTAAAAAAGGAAACAAAACAGAAAGAGAGAAAGGGGCATCACTGTAAAAAACGCCTCTACAGAAATTTTAAAAGAAATTAGGCTTGAGAATTGGATGAAGATTTTTTTATTATAAATGCAGAGCTGAGTCGCTTCTTTTGTAAGCTGAGCGTTATAAAATTATCTCTAATAACAGAAAACTCCATGAAAAAATCATCGGGCATAGATAAGTATTCATACAGGACAGAAGAGCTTTTAAGAAATTCATAGATTTAAATGAAGAGGTTGTACACACCACCGGTTGTTCTAGATAAGAGTATAGTTTACGCAGATTTCGGCGGGTAGCCCACTCCAAATCGCTCTAATTACGCAAAACCAATTAAATGATAATATCAGGCTATCTTCGGTAATGTAATTTGACTTCATTCACTATTTAGAAAAAGTAGTGAGATTTCAGACTGTAATGCAAATGCAAAAGTAAATCATTCTTGACTGATGTGAAGCGCAGAGACTGCTTGAAGGTTAGGGGGTTGATCAATCTGAAAAAATAACTGGATTTTTTCACATCTAAGCAAGAGAGATGCGAGGGTGTTTTGTGCAGAAAAATTCTTCTGCTGGAAGACTGAAAAAACCTGAAGCGCAACTTTTCAACTTAGGCTAAATATAAGATGTTAGAATTTTGGTTTATGGAACAGTTCTCCGGGATATTCATTGTTCAGAAAGTGAAAGACTAGAATAGCGAATGCAAATCAGAAGAACTGAAGCTACAGGTCATTCGTTCCAACCAGTGCCTGTTCGCCAAAACCGTTACGCCGACGACGAACGAGACGATGTGAATCATCAGATGCGAATCTACTAATGTCCGCCCATCGCCAACGTATCCGACAGATACTAGGGATAGTCAGGGAATAGGGGACGGATTAGGAAGCAGAAGGAAGTAAGCATGCAAAATAACAAGGAAGTAAGCATGCAAAACAACACGCGACAAAATTAGCGGATTTCATATCGCAATAACAAATACCTTAGTGAATCGTCTCTTGAAGTGGCAATCCCCTCGCATGTCTCAGATATAAGGTAGAAATATCTTGATTTGAACTTCCTAACAAGCATTGATAGGCAGCAGTGGCGTACCCAGGATTTTCGTTTGGGGGGGGGGGAACAAAAAATTTTTTAATGAAGGTGCGTGGTCGGTCGCGCACAAGTTTTTTTTGTATGTTTCCTAAATTTTGCTGGGCCATAACCCCTTATACTAATTATTTACAAGTACATATAGGCAAGTCGCTTGCACATCTTATAACTCATGTAAAAAACTTTCGTAATCGCGACCCCTCCTCGGGAAGGGGGGGGGGGCAATTTGGTATAGGGAAAAATGCCCAAAAGTACTAGACAACAAATCCACAACAACCATAGATTTGCGGTTGAATATATGATTACACGATTTACTTATAGGAAATAAAAATACTTGCCATCACTCTCAGTCGGTTCCTTTTTAGTTGAATTATACAAGGTGAATAAAAAACACCAAAAAAGTAAATCCCTATACCTTCAGAAATATATTGACTATTTACAGGTTGATGTCTTATATGTGAGAATTGCAATAATTTACCGAGTTTATTTTGGTACGATTCAAACAGACTCTTGAAATTCAAAACGGAGCATTGGATCAAAGATAAACTGTTTGAAAGGGACAATGGAGGTGGGCTGAGAGAAGGGGCCCTCAGTTCGGACACGGATTTTGCAGAAGATTTTTACTCATTAACTCACAAGAATGATTTTTTTGTACACTATGAGTTTCGATAGATACTACGGAAAAATCATATAAACATCACCTAGAGAATCAGATTTTTCTTCCTCTCTAGTTCGCCTCTTCTCTGAGCACCTACTTCACTAAATGTCAATATAAAATTTGATGAGGAAGTTGTTAGCACACTATAACGTCAACTGTCTGTTGCCAAAAGTTGTGAGGTGACATGAACGTGTCACTTTCTCTCAAAGAATTTGCGGAGGCACAGCTTACTTCCAGTCAAAATAAAATTACAAAAGTTGTAATAACACTGAAGATCCAAGCGAGAGATGTTTAGAGCGCCAGACAGAACACAATAATGAAAGAAGATATTTATATGCGCTCTGGTCTTAACCAGACAGCGAACTATTTCGCGCTCGAACATTTTCATCGACTTCACAAGATCAACCCCTCCGATAACCAGATCAAAATGCTGCTCACCCAAACATTAAAACAAGCTTTCTGCAAATTCACGTCATTGCTGCTGTGTAAGCGAAGAGTTAAGAGCTAGGCGGAACATTTGCTGCAGCTGATGACGACGATGCGATTTGCGAGCGAACAAAAACTGTCACCCGGCGCATGTTTGAGCATCGAATTGCAAGGGGCTCAGTGTGCTTTCGCCCCTCATCCCTCGTGGTTGCTGCAAATATTAACAGGTCGCTAGAGGGTTTGAAGATTAGTTTTGCGCTTCCGGACACGTCATGGCACTCGTTGACTTTTTTGCAAATGTAGCGACAAGTGCCAGTTGTCGCGATGACGACGGAAAAAGTCGCGCGGCAGTAAAAATGATGGCAGTGATGACGGCAAGAAATGCATTTGAAAAGGCCACGTGCGGCCTGCAAACGAACAGACGAAGCAAATGGCTTCTGCAAACGAACAAACGCTTGTCGTAGACATAACAGGCTTCGTCATCGCTATGTGGCACCGTCAGGAGTGATTCAGAATGGCGAACGGCGCCATTAGCCCTCCCAAGGCCCTAATGTCAAGGCCTCGCGTATTTTTTCCCATTACGCGGGCTAAGAATAACTCTATGAGATTGAGATCTATCAGGAAGCGACGCAGCAAAAAGTATTGGTCAGGTGTCCAGTAAGAGATGTTTTTACTTATATTTACACTAAGCAAACTCGTTGACGAGAAATAGTATGTCGGGATAGCTTGGAATTCCTACAATGGCACAAATCAAACTCACACAATTTTTTTTTATCAAGAGCCTCCCAGCCACATTCCTGTTGAAACCACAAAAAAGTAACAATGATGTAACAATAAATGCTGGTTGAGCCCTCTCTTTTGCAAAAATGCTACAAGGGGTTTCTATTAGGACATAGGACGTAACATAAGCTTTGTCACACTTTTTCCCTTTCCTCTAAAAAACTCTAGAAACTTTATCAACGGCTAATATTTGGCACATATGAACAATGGACAAAGGACTATCTATTGACATCATTTTCACCTTTACAGATATACACTACAGTAAAAATAAAGGCAATTTTGTGACGACACTTAAGTCTCCATTTTTTTCTTTTTCTCTAAAAATTTTCTCATTCTTATTTTTTTATGCTCTCAAATTTTTTATGGATTCTTGGGGATCTTGGTACTAATATGAAGTCAATTTGGGAGTCTAGGCTCTCCAATAATGCCAGTTGAAAATTTGCCAACAATAAGTCAGAAAATTTTTGAAAAATTCAAATTGAACTTTTTTATGTGCGACATTTATACATTAAATAGATAGAACCATCATTTCAGTTTAGAGGTGAGAAAAAATCTTTTGAAAAAGGTATGAACGTTTTTTCTTTCAAGTGTAACAAAACTTATGTTACGACTTAATAAACAGAGAAATGAAAGTAGGCCAGGAACTTTTTACGATACAAAGTTGCTATTTCGCAATTGTGTCTGCTCGTCTGATGTAATTGTGGCTTTTTCAGGAGATGAGTCAGTGCCTGGGGCTCATTGATGGCATTTTCTGTGTAGCTACAAAAAGTATTTGTCGCTTTTGCAATTCCAGAGTAATGTGACAGCTTGCATCGTTCTCTAGGAAATGCAAAAAGAGAGGGGGCGAGAAACATAACGACATAGTGAAAATACCGTAACACCCCACAGGATGACGCTGTCATCTAACAACAAGCAAGTTCCAAGTGTGCCGAGACTTTACCATAAATGAACATACAAAGTGTCTCAAACAGGGCCAAGTGGCTTGGTAAGCAAGCTGGATATCGTTTTGGGACAAAGAGAAAAGGGGGTTTCATTTTTGTGCAAAATTTGCGACGTTTTTTTGGTCGACGTTTCGTTTTTTAAGATTTTTTAGGATTATGGTTCACGATTAAAGGGAACCTCGTAAAATTTTGAGAAAGTCAAGGAAGAGTTCGTTTTTTGCATTTTCCGAAAGCCACCTCGTGCCGAGCCCTGGTCCCAAAAGTCTTGTAGCCTAAGCATGTATCGCTCTAACTTATGAATCACTGGTAGTTTCGCTTTCAAATTTATGCCACAGAATGCTGCGATCATCCTTTATAATACAAATTCCTGCAAGACTAGATTT